TTTTTGCAATGTCCTTTGCCCATTGTCTTTTAGGTTTTGATAATGACAAAAGGGTGACAAAACATCATCATCATTTTGTGCATCAAGGCTAAGAATCAAAGCTACAACAAGTTCATATCCGTCCGTGAAGAAGGGACTTGAGCATCGGTGGAAGGAACGAGACCGAAGAGGTTGTTTCCTTAGTTGGGTAGTGTTTTAGGTCTTAGATTTTGTGTTAAAGAGTATGGCATCTCCAAGGTTCATTCCCTTATCATCATACCTTTAAAACACATTTTTTTCTAGCAAACTATTCGAATAAATTGCAAACTATTCGAATAAATCCCTGAACTTCTTTTCTGACTTAGTTGAATAAATCCAGAACTAGTTGAATAAGTCTTGGTTTTTCAATCTGATTTATTCGAATAAATCTCAATTTATTCGAATAAGAACTGGTTTTTCAAGCCACGCGATTGATCCAAACTATTCGAATAGTTCTTGAGTTATTCGAATAAATCGACAATTTCAACTACCAAACGGCTAGTTTTTTGAATTCTTTTCATCTCTATCCACTTCCTAACTTCTATAAACAACCCTCTTCGTGATTGTCTTGATAAGAACACTTAGAACACTTTGAAGAACATATCCTTTGAATATCCAAAGAGATTCTACTCAATCCCTTCCTTATATCCAAGCAAGGCAATTGTTTTGATTGCTAAATCATTTCTTGCTTGAGTTTTTCCTCATTGCTTGAGTCTTTGAGAGATATTGCCATATTCTAAAGGGCTTCATTGTATTTGCAACAATCTACTCCGTGTTGGGAGAATTACTCGGTTGCGGTTTGTTTTCTTACTTTATTGTAAGGGATTTGTATTCTTGGTGTTGGGATTACACCAAGGGGTAGAAATCCTAACGGTTTGTGAAATCAAACGTTAGGTGGAAGAAATCCTGAGTTTTGTGAAATCAAAACTTCGGTGGTAAGATAAGAGGCTTGTGAAATCAAGTTCTCGAGTTGTATTCGATTGTCAAACTCCGTTAAGTTTGACGGGTTAGTGAAGGCCTGGGCACGATTGCTTCGGGGACTGGATGTAGGCATTAGGCCGAACCAGCATATATCGTGTGTGCATTGCTCTTATCCTTCACTTTATTTTGTTTGTGGTGCATTGTTTTTATTGAATATTCGTGAAGAACGTTTCCGCGCAAAAAACTGGTCTTTTGGGCAACACCTCTATTCACCCCCCCCCTCTAGAGATGTGCGAGGTGTCTAACAAAACAAGGTTTTAGTTCAGGCATAGTAAATTTCATATGCATGGCTACATTGGTAATTTGGTAATCTTTGAGCAGCTCCTTATTCTCTAAAAGAAAAACAGAATTAGATACAATCCAGTGAGCATGCCATTTTTTCATTATATATTTAATATATTTTCTTTTTCGTTGCTGTGTGGTTACTTACTCCCTCCGTCCCGAATTAAAATTCCATATTTGACTGGACACAACTTTTAAGAAAGGTAAAATTGAGTGATTGAGACCTATGCGGGAGAGGCAGAAATAATGTAAACCACAGGTCCATTTATTTGAAAAGAAAGTGGAACCTTATTTTGGGACAAACAAAATAACAAATGTGGATCCTTTTTTTGGGACGGAATGAGTATTTGTTGTCTTGCCAAATAACCTTCCAAGCAATTGATTAAAGATGTTTGTCCCTTTTTATGCCTAGGTCGGCAAGCTAGAAAATCAAATTGATATTTTTGAGGCAGAATTGGAAGGACTAACTGTTAAAAGGGAAAACAAGGCCCCCAAGATTGGTAAAGAAAGGGAACATCTTAATATTGATGACATTATGAGTGGTTTGTCTATCTTGGTGTTCATGTGAGATCTGTTTCACAGGTTCATTTGGAAGCATCCATTGTTCGACACAAGGCTCACATAATGAAGTTAAAATTGATCTTGAGGTTACTGGATAATGATGAGTTGAGCCTAGAGCAAGTCAATGATGTTAAAGATTTTCAGGATGCTATGTGGAGCGCAATCAGGTTTGCTTTTTTCAATATAACCCCCCCCCCCTCCAAATAAACTCATGTCATTTAAAGAGATCAAATACTACGATTGAATTCTAAAAATCTACATATCATGGACATTTTATCTCAAAATTAATATAGATTTTTTGTAGACTTCAGAGTTTGTTTTTATTGTTTTAATTACCCACATGAACTTAGGTAACATTGATAAGTCTGACAGATCAGGAAGATATCTTTTCATCTTATACTTCCGGTTATACCAAGAGCTTCAAGAGAAGAAATTGTGGAAGGTATCGTGAATTCATTGACTTTGTGGTTGCATTGTAAAGTATTTACATTGACTAAATATGAGATTACATTTGTCTTCATCCAGCCACGCAGATAGTGACACACAACTTTTTTCTGAGTGGCTAATTAAGATTGGAGATGAACAACTTTGCGTGGTTAAAGAAGGAATTGGTGAAATTGAAATTCCACCCGAATCCTTGATCCCGGACTCGAGTTCTCCACTGCAGAGTATAGTGGAATTCACGTATCCAAAGTTATTAGAAAATATGAAAGATTATACTTTTTTATGGATAAATAAGCTTTATTAGCACTCACGCTTGAAGTTGTGGAAATGATTAATGATTTTGTTTTGTCTCTTATTCTTGGAGATGAAAAGGAGTATTTGAGCTCTGTTTTTTATGTCAAGCAGATTCAGATGTAGACATAGATGGTGATTGGATAACGACTGAGTTTTTGAACGATATCAAGTGTTTGGGGATTCTAATTATGTTATTAAGAAACATTTATCAAACATTTGGGTTGTGTAGTGTTACAAGGTTAATAGTTGAAGAGTTACGAATAAATGTTATCGATGCAATTGTTGTATACAAGAACAATGCAAGTGAGAAAATTTAGATACCAAGAATGAATTTGGTGCCGTCAGATCCTGGATTAACGTTTAAGTTTCAAAGAAGATAATATCCAATATCTTTATGTTTTGGCATGAGGATTAATTTGAGTCAGGTCCAAACATTATCATTTGTTGGATTATTTTTGCCCAAACTGGTATTCTCTCATGATCAACTTTATATTGCAGTTTTACAAGTGAAAACTAAGAAAGAATTGAAAGGGTTAGTTTTAGATGACAGCGACGACGCTTGCAATTGCACCAAAAATGTGATTTACCTTGAAGTTTTTCAAAAAAATTGGATTTAATTATTACATCTATACATTCTTCTCAATTTTTATGAATTTTAGTTAGCATACTCTGTTTATGTCGTATCATTCATTATGCTTCTAACATTGTATACCAAATTTAGCTATATTTTTAACCATTTACTAAAAACAAAAATTTAACAAAGTAAAAAACAACATGCATTCGACCCGTGCATTGCACGGGTTAAATACCAGTACTTTGAAATTGTCAAGCATCGGCCCAAAAAGTATTTATTTTTATTATTTTGAAAGAATTTTATCTAAAAATTTAAATTTTTGGACGTTCCAAAGAATACTTTATCAATCATCTTTATGGATACATTTCCACTTTTGAATCAGAGAATTTTTGCATCCTTTTATTTTTTCTTTTTCTATTTTTCTTTAGTTTTCTTTCTTTATATATCTATTTTCTTTTTATTTTTTTAACGTACAACAAATAGTTTGTTTATTTTTGAAAATTTAAAAAGGTAAATGTTTAACTTTAGATAAAGAAAGTATATGTTATATTTTTTTGGGTTTTTCATTTCAAATACAAACTAATTTGAATTTTAAAACATTAAAAACTACATCAAAGACTCTGCAAAACAATAAGTGACATGACCATATTATTTTATCAAAAAGATGTTACAAAAATTTGAAGGTTTTATTAATATTTTATATTAATAATGATTATTTTGTGTTATAAAGTGAAGGATTTAATAAATAAATTGATAAAATTAATTCTTATTTAGAAATGCATGATTTACAAATAAATTAAACTTTAATTGTAATGAATTTTTATACTCCATAAAAAAGTTATTTTAAAAAAATAAAGTGAAATATATAAAAAAAATTGCAAGATAAAAGATATCATAACATAAAAAATATAGTATATTATTACATTACATGACTTGTAAAAACACATGCAATAATATTTTTTTAGAAGAAAGCTTATGTGACTACACGTGGCGTGACACTCCTACATGGCATATATGACACATGGCGCAACCACAATTAATCCGCTCCACTTTATATATAACTAGTATTTTTACCCGTGCAATGCACGGGGTCAAACAAAATTTTTATTTGGTTCTAAATCTTTTTAATGCAATATTTTTTCCCACAATAAAGAAAATATATTTCCCTATGATTTTTAATACTATATACAAAAATTCCAAAGTAGAATAAACAATATTTGAGGAATTGAATGTGTATTCAACCAAGTTTTTTTAATACCAAACTTTTTGAAAGACTGTAGGGTAAATAATTTTTTGATATAGTTGCAAGGGTATCATTGTCATCTAGAATCAATATTTTTAATTGTGTTTTTGTCTTCACTCATGGAACCATAACATAAAGCTGACCATGAGTGAATACCAACTTGGTTAAAAGTAATGCAAGAAATGACAATGTTTGACTTTGACTTTTGTTGAAGAGGTTGTAAGGCCGACACTTCTCTCTTTGTCTTCTCTCAGCCCATGGGCACGACCTATCTACTACTTTATGTGGATGATATAGTTGTCACAGCATCCTCTCCAGCACTTCTACAGAGTCTCATTCAGCAGCTAAAGGCTGAGTTCTCCATGACTGATATGGGCGATCTGCACTTTTTCCTCGGGATCAATGTTCACCGCACAGCTTCTGGCCTGTTCCTCCACCAGACTCAGTTCACGCACGACATCCTTGAGAGGGCAGGGATGGTCTCTTGTCGGCCCATCTCAACCCCGGTGGATACAAAGGCAAAGCTATCTGTGTCAGCTGGTACGGCGCTCTCCGACCCCTCACTTTACCGATCCATTGTCAGCGCGCTGCAGTACCTCACATTCACTCGTCCTGATATCACATATGCAGTCCAGCAGCTCTGCCTACACCTCCATGCCCCCCACGACGCTCACTTTACAGCCATAAAGCGTGTTCTCCGGTATCTCAGTGGCACCGCCACTCATGGCATTTACTTGACACGATCCGCCACCGATTACCTACAGGCTTATTCAGACGCTGATTGGGCTGGCTGTCCTGACACCAGACGTTCTACTTCGGGCTACTGCGTCTTCCTTGGTGACAACCTTGTCTCATGGCCGTCTAAGCGCCAGGCCACTACTTCTCGCTCCAGTGCCGAGGCCGAATACCGGGCTGTAGCGAATGCTGTTGCAGAAACCAGCTGGATCCGAAACCTCCTCCTTGAGCTCCAGCAGCCACTCCGTCGCGCCACACTTGTCTTTTGTGATAATGTCAGTGCGGTCTACCTTTCGTCAAACCCGGTACAGCATCAGCGCACCAAGCACGTCGAGGTTGACATACACTTTGTGCGTGATAAGGTGGCGCTCGGTCAGATCAAAGTCCTGCATGTTCCGTCATCTTCTCAGTTTGCTGATATCGTCACAAAGGGACTGCCCTCACAATTATTTCTTGACTTCAGAGAAAGCCTGGGTATCCGACCCCAGCACTGCCGACGTAGCCGGGAGCATGTTAAATATATCTAATATATTTAATATTATTGTATTATTATTGTTACCATATTTGTATAGGTTTCCTATATTGTTTCCTACCATATTTGTATAGGTTTCCTATAGTGTCTCTCCTACCTTAATTAGGATTGAGACTTGTGTATATATACATGTACTCTCCTCACAATTTATTCAATGAAAATACTTCTTCTTCAGTTGGTCCAAGAAAAGAAGCTGTGCAGAAAAGATGCAGCATAATAATCGATTAATGCATCACCAATAATCGATCAATGCATCATCATCAACGATTAATGAAGCTGAAGGAAAATCGATTAAATTAAAGGGATTAATCGATTAGAAGGCTCTGTGTGAACTAATCAATTAAAACAAAGATAAAAATCGATTATATCAAAAGGCCAGACAGTCCTTCGCTAGTCAAGGTAAATTAATCGATTAATTTAAGAAATTTAATCGATTACAAAAGGAATAATGGCGCAAACACAAAGGGCCCAAGCCAGTTGCGATGGAGAGCAAAATTGGCTGAATACTCGTTGTTTGAGACAACGGGAATCAAGAGGCGCTCCTCCTCTCTTATTCAATGAATTTGAATAAGGGAGTAAAAGTGAGTCTAAAAATTATTTTGTGTGTGAAACGATGTACACAAAAAATATTTGAATAAAATATTTTTGCTTACCAAAAATATTTTATAATATCAAAATAAATATTTGATAAATGTTTGGCACACCTTTTGTAACTGACTCAATAAAAACTATTTGAACAGTTAAAAAGATTTTTCAACTGACTCCAAAAATAAATATAATTTTTATTTTTAACTCTCATAAAAATAATTTTGGAGAGAAGATATTTTTGTCATCCTTACAAATATTCCTACGACTCAAATAAATAAAAAGTCTTCGGAAATCTTCTACTCCTCCGAGTCCTCCGTTAGGCGCTCCGAACACGTCTCGGGCTCCAATAGAATCCTGTGCACCTTCTTGATTTCTTCAAGGAATGGCACTTCAAGTCTTCGTGTTTGTCGTTGTAGCACTTTGATCTTGACTTGAATAAATTGTGTTTGTCAATTATCAAAACATGTGAGTCAACACTTAACAACATAGAAAGGGTTGAACTCATGCATTCCAACAATTAATTAAAAGTTTTTTATAATTAACATTTATAACCTCCTAATTATAATTACTTTACATATACCTTGTAAAAGTTTTTCATATGTGCAATAATTGGGAATGAATATTTGCTCTAATAAGGTGTTTTCATACTTTAAGTTAAAATTGCCAAATCACTAAAGTCATCAAATGTGATGTGGCTGATGATGTGTAAAAAAAATTTGCCAAGTAGCCTGCCACATGTCAAATTTCTGGGAGTTTAACTCCCAAATATTATACATAAAAGGATATATACTACCTCCGTCCCATTGTCTTTGTCCACTTTTGACTTTTGGAACTGTTCATCTAAGCACTTTGACTCATCAAAATCTCTTAATGTGTAAGCCTAAAAATAGTCATGTGTGATCTTGTTTGATTCGTCTTAACATATAGATTATTAATATATAATTTCTATAATTTTTTAATATACAAATTACAAGATAAAATATATTAAAGAAGTGCATTGGATGGTGTGCTAAAAGGTAAGTGGACAAAGACAGTCGGAAGCTAAATAAAGGTTGCAACTTGTGCATAGTCACATGTTTCCTTTTGCTTTCTTCTCATTTTATGCGTAGCTAATAAATTTCGAGCGCTGGTTCTGTATTTATCTCTGTTTTTACAGAGTAAGGCTATGTACATTTCTATTTATTTGGGTATGGATTTTCAGGAAAGACATATCAAAACCCAAGTGGCCTGATAAACTAGGAATGGCTGAGATAGCTGAGAGGAAGGCTAGTCTCTGGAAAACAACATGAATAATTTGCAACGGGAATATCTATTGTTTCATTGAAGAAGCTTTGTACGTGGAAAATCTATTCGCTAATGACTTAGTCTCTTCTTTTCCAAAGGGAAGTATGGTTTTATAGAACATGCCGAAATTGAGAGATCGTGTGGGTTTTTTCGATCTCTTGATTTCGTCACCGCAGGACTTCTTCAGCAATTGAGTAACTAGTGGAATGTCTTGGAAATTATATTCATGATTCTGATCAGATTTTTCTTTTGTGCAAGAATCCTATAAATTGGTTTGTTTTTAAAAATTATATAAAATTGAAATTCAATTTGTATTCTTCTTAGTTTCCGATACATTATCTTTCAATTCCTGAATTTGATTCTAGTTCACAAGTTCTGCAGTTTTAGGGTAACCCCATGCTTTTCGATCAGGCCAGGTTTGTTTCCTTCTTCTGCTTAGCTTCATATCCTTCTTTTATTTCATTTTGTCTTAGCCTCTTTAAATCAGCACCATAAACATCAAAATGTTTTCATCACTTCAAAAAGAAAAATGTAGGCACAATAGAGTTTAGAATTTAGATCTCCAGCCTTTTGGTGATATTTCCATGTGTTATAAGTGTTCTTTCTTGATATTTTACTCCTTATTTTTATTCTCCCATTTTTGTACAATTATAATGTCAACAAAATTTCATAGTTTTATATAATTTTATGGTTGATAGTCTCAAAAATTATGAAGAAACAAAGTTGTAAATATTGAGGTCAGGACCCCTGCATATTCTTCAGCGTCAATTCAAGATTCAAGCTTTTTTTCCAAATTTTATGTGCAATTCTACATTCAATTCATATATTCGTGTATACAGATTTTGAGCTATCAAATTCAATACCTATTACATATTTTGGGCTCTCGATCTTCCCAATTTTTTTGGTAAATTCTTTGATTAGTAAATGTGGCTTGATTAAGTGCGAGATTACATGCCTAATTTTATGTTTTGTTTTTCCCCCATCTATGTTTCTGTGGCAAGAGGAACTAAGCAGAGCTATGGATTCACTTGGATTTAGTGATCGATGGAGATGTTACAATATATCTCCCCTAAAAATATCTAGGTTTGAAGTTTTTTTTTTGCCTTTTCACTTGAAGTATTGTCCTATGCTTCCCTTTCTTTATATTGAGATATTATTAGGCAATAGATTTGGTAGAATTTTTTAAACATTTGAGTCTTGGCTATCGAGGAGAGACCCTACCTGATCTTTACATCTCCATATATTTGGAAAGAGTCTCAAATGAAGATGCAGTGCAAACTATCTTCGTACTAGGTTACCCAGCATTACATTGCACAAGAGCATTTGTAAATTTATGCATAGCCTTGCTAAGTTCTTGCTTAACACATGACAATGCTTCAATTATTGTCTTGCTTGGAGTAGGATACATAGAAGAACCTAGAGCAATTAGTCTTTGAATCCATATATTCGTTTAATGAGTATAGAAGCTGTTATAGTTGAATTAAAGGATACAGGTCTATGTTCGTATCTCAGCAACAACCATCCATCCTCCTGGATCTCTACACTTTGCACTTTAGGTAATTTAATTATACAAAATACCTCTTTTCCTATTCCAAATCCACTATCATACCCTTTGTTGGTTGTTTTGAATCGGTATTTATGTAAGACTCATCTACCTTCTTATGATATTCCCCAAATATTATCAATGTTATTATTAGAATAAATTCCATGATTGGTCCATTATAACATATTATAACATGAGGGTTCCCATATTTAGTCATATATTATCAAATATTACCCCCGAAGTCTTTTTTTAAGGGTGTCTTTCCACAAATGGTTCTTTTTGATCTTCTGTCATGTTGGTGTTAATTTAAAGGCTAAAAGTATAATTTGACATCAACATTATGTCTACTAACGTGTTTTGATATTGGTTAAGCGGATAACACAAAAATAATGAATATAATTGTGGCTAGGATTCTGAAAAAAAGACCACATTTGTAAACTATGATTGTAGTAGAAAGCGACTGTAATTCACAAACGATGCAAATGGAACAACCTTTGGAATTGTGTATGACAAAAATGATATATTATCATTGTGAAATTACACTTTTAACCCTCAAATTTACACCAACATGATTGAAGATCAAAAAAAGGACTATTTCTAGAAAGATACCCATAAAAGAAGAACCACTGTTGTAATATTTGATAATAGTGGACTAAATAAGGAAACCCCTCGTTATAAAGGACCAATTATAGAATTACTCTAATTATTATTATTACTATAAGTGATTTGTGAGATGAACTCTTTAGGCTGTGTTCCATTCCATTTAGATCAAACCAGATCATATCAAATAAGATATTGCTTTAAATATAATTTTAGTCAGATCAACCAGATCGGATTCAAAAAAATGATCAGATTAAACATACGGAATGCATGGAGGGTATACATCTTATACTCATAGTATATGAGTAGAATTCAAATTTATTAATATATTTTATAAAAAAGTATACAAGATCGTACAAAGCATGGAATTAAAACAAATATTGATATTAATATAGTCTTGGTATGATTTGAGACTCAAGTTTCTAAAAGCGTGATATGTAAAATGTCTATGTGATATTGATTTATGAAAGTGGGAAGGGAACTTATAAATTCGTGTCAATTGTAAAATCATTCCATTCCTTTTCTGCTTTATAAACATATGAGGCAGAAGGGAAACTAATTCTATCTCAATGGGAAGAATGAAATCATAGGCATTTTGATTCCAAACTCAATCACGTCAGTGATAGAGAACATTGATCTTGCCATTTTATGCAGCCTAATGTACCCTTGCACACTCTGCCAAAGGATATTCTAATTGGAAGACTTAGGATGTGGAAGTAGTTTGGGCAGGTTAAAAAGTGCTTCATTGCCAGCAAAACTACAAATGTTAGCCTTACAAGAATGATATTTTTCAAGGTGGGCAACTACCCGTGTAC